CATTTTTCAACACAAGTTTGTTGACTTCAAAACAAAACCTAACCAACTCAAAATACTATTTTATCTGTGAAATGCTCTAAAATAAGAATAAATATCGATGGTTTCTTTGATATCGATAAGAAATATTATGATTTGACAAAGAAAACAAGTATTTTTGCTGTTGTCCGTATTTCAAGTCCAACTCACTTTGCTCAAAATATGAGGAAAAAATGAATATTTGTCAAAAAAGTCTCTTTTAACTTGGTTGAATAAAAATATTGATGAAAACAAACTTGTTCTTGTATTGATATCAAACTATTGGACATTTGTCAAGGGATATTTTTGATTTTCAATGGATTTGTTTGAATATTTGTTGAGTAAAACACATATCAACTTTCAATCAACTACAAAAATAAAACTACAAGAAATTTCTTTATTATTCAATAAAATATGATATTATTTACAAAAACAGATTATATTCTACTCGTTTATTATGGTTTCATTCAATATTCTCTACATATATGAGTTTTATTGATCTAAATAACCAACTGAACACCAGGGATCTGTTCTAGAGACAGTTCACATTCTCTTGTTATGTTATTATTACCATTTTACACGACAATCATCACGTATTAATACTGAACACAGACACTGAGCACCAACATCTGTTATCTTATTATTACGTAGGACTAGGTTTGTTATCTTAGTACGAGGCAACATGTCACATATTATTTTAACACCAACATCTGTTATCTTATTGACAGCTAGGTTAAGGTCTGTTATCTTAGTACGAGGCAACATGTCACATATTATTTTAGCACATTCATCGTCTAATTTACAAGCACACAGCCACAGTGCATCAACAATAGAAATACGAACAAGAGAATTACACAACATTCTGATCTCTGATGCTGATAAAGATGAGTCATAAATGAACAATGAATTAACAATGAATGACTGTGTAAATGTTGAATGTTGTTTAGTTTGTTCTGCGTTGATTAAATTCACTATATCTAATAAATAACTTATGTACAAACAATCGATATCAGTTATTTCACTAAATCCAATCCTCCCAATCCTATCACAGTATCTGTGTTTAAGGTTATTTATTACTCTGGTAGAAAATCCATCGTCTTTGTACTCGTACAGACAGGATAAAGTTAGCAGTTCATTCCTCTTATCGTCTTCATTCCTTGGTTTGATATTTTCTATCAACTTTTCCATCATTTTTTCATCTTTTTCTCTTGAAAACATTCCCGCCATGAACATGAATGTCACATCGCTCGTTTTCTTTTTCTCTGGAATTTGTTTTTTCTCTACAAACAAAAAAGCACAGAGAAATTCTTGAATCGTTAAGTGGGTGAACGTAAATTCAAGTGGTGGTTTATCGATTGGAGATTTTTTAACGCCAGGACAACAGTCAAGTAATCCACTCGCTTTCAGGTTTGTTATTTCTTCATCGTTAAGATTGAATTTTTTCATATCATTTTCGTCGAAAACATATTTATCTTCCATCATTAAATTCACTGCTAGTTCAGCTAGTTTGTGTAATATTTCTTGTACTTTAGATTCTTCCATTTTTTCGTATTTGGAAGAGGAATGTTTCTTGATGAATACTTTGATTACTTCAAGATAAAGTTCTGTTCTTGTGACGGGTAGTTTTTCAGTGGTTTTTGATTCAGTCATGTGCCACTTAATGCAGTAGCACATTAGAAAACACATCACAGGAATGTGACCAAAACTTAAAAGAATTTCATTCGTTTTGATGTGATCAAGTGCTTTTTTCTTCATGCTTTCGTTCTCTTTGAAATATTTTTCGATGTATTCTAGCACTTGAAGTGAAGAAAATCCTTGAATGTCACATCTCACATCAAAGACAATTTCTTCAATTTCGTTGAATTCCTCGGCTTCGCCAGGCCTCGAGGATATTAGGACCTTTGCACCGTTTAACATCTTGCCTTTAATGATTTTGGCAATCAAAGCAGGAACAGGTATTTTTTCATCAGGGTCGTTTGGGTATCTTGTCTCAAAGTCCCCGGTGATTTTCTCTCGATGCGATTTATACTCATCATATCCATCGAGGATAATAAATATCTTCTCAGGATTGTCAATCATGTACTGCATTAATGGCTCGTCTATCACCGAGTGCTCATTCAGTAGGGAGGACAGCATTAAGACATCACGTAAGTTGAGCCTTTTTTGTTCTGGAAAAACAAGTTGACGGAATGTCAACAGGAACACAAACTGAAAATCGGGTACTTTGGCATTTTCCTGACCTTCCTCAAACAATCGGTTATGCGACCAATCCCGTACCAGCTTACGACAAAAAAGGGATTTTCCAATTCCTGCTTTGCCCGTCAACAAGATAGATTTAGGATTGGTCGTGCAAG